CTCAAGAAAGAAAAAGACCTTACCTAGAAATTTCTGAAAAAACTGATCTTGATTCAAAGATCTTCTTGAAATTCTAATCGTCAACTTCAATTTTGCTCAAAACTGATCTTGATTCTGATCAACCCCGGAAACTTCTGAAAATAGAACTGATCTTTGAGAAAATCTTCTTGATCGCCAACTTTAGTCTTGATGAGAGAACCAAAAAAATCTGATTGGCACCTCCAATCTTGATCAAGACCTTCCCTTGATCACTTAATTCTTCTCTGATTCTTCCTAATTACAAGGAACACTTTCCAATCCTTGGACAGTTGCTGAAGACTTCTTGTAATCTCCAAGAATCAATCGAATGAAAAAAATCTTTCAGCCCTAAATAGTTCTCATGTGGTCGGCTAAATTAATCCCACATGAGAAAACCTAGATCGAATGCTCTGATACCAAGTTGTCATTCAAGATGGAACAGACACTTAAAAGAGAAGAAGAAAAAGAATAAGAAAAGAAGAGAGAGAGAGAGAGAGAGATTTTGAGAAAAGAGAGATTTGGTTGTTTTGAAACAGTGGCCCCACTCTTAAATTTATACACATAGTATTATACTATTATAAAATGACTAAATTGCTTGCATGGCAAGATAAGATAAAGCTGAAATCATAAGAGAATAATCCTAATTTTTATCTAATCCTAATCATAACTTATTGTTGACATACGAACCATGGGAACCACCTTAGTGGGGTCCACATTAGTGTTCTCTACAGGGATGATGCCCCGTATTAGGAGTATCATTCCAACATGATCCGTGTCTCCACATTGCACCATAAGAATGGGATCCACCATGTATGAGATGCCTTAAAATGGCTTTTGATCGGATTCCTTTTTTTTTGTTGGGACTTGGGAGAGGATCCAGATTTGCAATGCCTGATGGCACTAGTACTAGCAATTTGTGAGTTGGAGTCTCTTCCCAACAAAAATCCGTTCCAGCATATATATATATTCCAATAAGATCTGTGTACGCACACCTCACCACAAGACTGATCCACGGTGTATAAGATGTGTGGATACAGATGAAAACAACCAAAATTTTTTCCAATTTCACAATACCACTATTATCCTCGTCATTCCCAGTCATTGTCCTTAACTGAATCATGTGGATCTCATAAATCTATATCAAACCTATATCAATGTTATTATTTGGTATGAGCTCTACTCACACCAATCTCACAGCACTTGGAGCCGCACATCTAGAACGGTGACACGTGGACCTGACTCAGCGCGAGTAACAGCTCAACATCGTGGCCTATTACGACCAAGTAATGAGCCCATAAAGCAGCTTGCCGCATCGTAGCTCATAAAGAAGGAGCGCACCACAACGCGAGCTCTGGGTTCCTCGAGCTACCCCCAAGGGGATATTCCAAGGCAACTTTAGCTTGCGAGCTAGGGAAACTAGCTCGCCCGGGCCCCCAAGCAGATAAGCCATCCCAGGGACCAATTCTACTAAGGGTAACCCTGAAGTATTCCAAAGCTCGCTACAAAGTGGTTCGCAAGTGCGCAGCATGAGCGCTCCTCAGGAAGCTTCTATCTGATAGGCCGTACCGATCAAACTACGCCACGTCCCTTAACTGACGGCGCAGTCCCTGTCCTTTCGACAATCTGCGCCCACATCTCTCAGCAGGCGGAGGTGCGCCTGCCAATTGGAAACGTGTCACTCACCCGGGCAAGGAGTACGTTGTAATGGCCACCTGTGCAGCCCTGGCAGGTAACGGTTGTGGCAGGGGTCCAGTGGTGGTTATGCCCTATATGACAAGAACACCCCTATAAAAAYCCTCAAGGTAGAGGGGAAAAGGGATCTTCAGACTTTGGAACACATTAATATTCTCATACTCTAAACTGCATACACCTTTGCTCGCGAGCTAATCTCTCGAGCACAATGATAAAGCGCGACCTACACTCTTAGCTTTAGCACTCTTCTTTTCTCTTTCCCCTGCGTTCTGACTTAAGCATCGGAGTATTCCCACCGGGTAAATCCCCGGGAATCCTTCTTTTCCGTCTTCTCAGGTTTCGTCTGTTGCCAACAAGGAGCCAGTTAGTAGACAACTAGGATTGCCCAGATCGCACCGCATCATTCGGTGTCCTCTGTGGGAATGCTTCTAAAAGCCAGCCCCTTTTGAAGCCAGCCCCACTAGCTCCTCCTTCGGGTGGAGGTGGCGGGATTTCAGGTGGCGGAATCTCAGGCGGAGGAGAGGATAAGACTGGCTCGACAGATCCGAACTCGGTGCCCCCCGAGGGGGGAGTCCGATTGGGGCGCGACCTCTTCACTCTGCGCCTCTAGTTGTTTGAAAGAAGACGGCGTGAGTCGATACCAGACATGATGGCTGCCAAGAAGAAACCACAAAGTGTTAGTTCGGTAAGAACGAAGTATATGTATATGACACAATGTTACGACAAGTACTACGCGACCTAAAAAGGCAACCTACCCGGGCTCAGGCCGGCCTGCACGAGCTTCTCCTCGGTCAAGTAGTCCGAATAGAGGAAGACTACTAATGCTAGGACAGCATCGTTTTCTATGTATCGGGGTCCAGCTCGACCCCGGAGTCCTGGATGGCACCCCTCCAAGAAGTAGAGAAGGGCCACCCTTCGGGGTTGCGGACCAAAAAATAGTCCCACTTCCAAGCAGAAATTTTCTTCGGGAGCTCATGCAAGAGCTTGTAGCCACGACGGGGAGAGAAGTAATAGAGACGCCTCTCCGGTGGAGCCCCGAGGGTGGCATTCTTTATACAAAGGATAGCGGAAAAAATGTCGAGATTCAAGGGAAGACAGTATTCCCAACACAAGGATATAGTCCCAACCATGTTCCGAATGGCATTGGGATGAAGCTGATTGATGGTGACATTAAAGTGGTTTAGCACCTCTACTATCAAGGGGTGCAGGGGAAGACGTAGGCCAGCCTCGAGCTGCTCCTGGTAAATGACTATCTCATTGGGACTATGCTCCCATGGAAAGTTACCGGTGGAAAGGCAGTAGAGGAGGTCCCCAGGAAGGTGGAAATAACTAATTAGAGACCTAAGCCTCCCCTCTGTCATGGAGGAAAGGCCAAAAGTATCGGGCTCCCTTCCGTGGGAAGTAGAGGCTCCTTCACCGGAGGTCTCCCGGCCCCCGAGACCTGCTCCCAAGCTCCCCCCGAGCTCGAGGGAGCATCATCGTCTTGGTCACCGTCCCGATGACGAGTATGGTACGGGTACCCAGACAGGACTGACAGTAAGTAAGAGACACTGAAAGGGATGGGATGAAGTGAGTTGAGGAACTCGAGTAGACTTGACAGATGCGCGACCTCAGAATCCGAAGACAGCAAGATGGTGTGAGGGAAAAAGAGACCCAAAGGGCCCTCCTATTTATAGCCCCCACTCCTCAGAATCAACGGCCCAGATTAAAGCAGATCCAACGGTTCGTAGGCATACTGACCGCACGCCTTCTGAAAACCGAAAGCGATTGGCTGCACATCTTCCATGATTAAGGTAGTGACGGCTGCACGACATCCGGAGTTAAGCGCCACTTCAACACGTTTTCGGAATCCGAAAAGTCAGAAAATCTCTTGGTTCCCGCGAACGCATTTAATGTGAGTAGTCAATCAAGTTTGAATTTCGGTCAAATCAGTCCGTCATACTTATGAACTCCTCGCGCTAAGGCGACGCTCTCAGCCCAAGGAGTGGGGGCAATTGATGTAGGATGATTTGACCCGACCTACGAAACGGTGACACGTGGACCTGACTCAGCACGAGTAACAACTCAACATCGTGGCCTATTACAACCAAGTAATGAGCCCATAAAGGAGCTCGCCACAACGCGAGCTCCGGGTTCCCCGAGCTACCCCAAAGGGGATATTCYGAGGAAAATTTAGCTCGCGAGCTAGGGAAACCAGCTCGCCCGGGCCCCCAAGCAGATAAGCCATCCCAGGGACCAATTCTACTAAGGGTAACCCTGAAGTATTCCCAAGCTCGCTACAAAGTGGTTCACAAGTGCGCAACATGAGAGCTCTTCAAGAAGCTTCTATCTGACAGGCCGTACCGATCAGACTGCGCCATGTCCCTTAACTGACGACGCAGTCCCTCTCCTTTCGACAGTCTGCGCCCACGTCTCTTAGCAGGCAGAGGCACGCCTGCCCCTTGAAAACGTGTCACTCACACGAGCAAGGAGTACGTTGCAACGGCCACCTGCGCAGCCCTAGCAAGTAACGACTGTGGCAGGGGTCCAGTGGCGATTATGCCCTATCTAACAAGAACGCCCCTATAAAAACCCTCAAGGCAGAGGGGAAAAGGGATCTTCAGACTTTGGAACACATTAATATTCTCATACTCTAAACTGCATACACCTTTGCTCGCGAGCTAATCTCTCGAGCACAGTGATAAAGCGCGACCTACACTCTTAGCTTTAGCACTCTTCTTTTCTCTTTCCCCTGCGTTCTGACTTAAGCATCGGAATATTCCCACCGGGTAAATCCCCGGGAATCCTTCTTTTCCGTCTTCTCAGATGCCGTCCGTCGCCAACAAGGAACCAGTTAGCAAACTAGGAGTGCCCGGATCGCGCCGCATCATTTTCCATTTGAGAGATGTTCTCAATATATGTACGAATGAGCCAACAGGCTTTGTCAAGGCCTCTTGCTAATTTTAATGTGATTGGGATGTGTGCTATTAAAGAATAATGACATTCGGGAGATGTTATTGGGGCTGAAACATTCCCACCTTCCTATTTCCCCACTCCCCAAAGACCAAAGCCCTGCCTTTTGTGACGGGATCTGCTCTTCACAAATGGGCGCCTCACATGCACATCCACCGTGCATTGGAACATCTCCCGTGAATAATAATTAATAAGCGCGAGAAATATTGGATGTGCGTGTGAGGCGCGCAGATCCGGTCTCCCTCCTTTCTGTGTCCGCACTATGCAGCTCCCCAAGACCCAAACCGTCAATTTTGATTTCACTCCGTCTCTGTCATTTGGAAAATAATTTAATAAGGTTTCAACAATGTGGGAGATAAAAGGAGCCATTAGAGAGAGAGAGAGATGGTTGGAAATACCTTCCATTCAAAACAACACGTTCCCTCTTCTCAACCCAACTACCTGTCCTCCCAGTCCCATGCGTAAATCCTTCCTAACCTCATGCTCAATCGTCTCCAGAAGAAAATATTGCTTAAACCATTAGAACCCTTATAATTGGTGGCTGGTGTGGGGGCAACGTCTGACTAATAAGAGGAGGAGGCTGATCGGAGAGAAGCAGATGAATATCTCTGCAATAAAAGGGAGCTTCAAAATCATTTCTTGTGTATGTCTTCAGCAAATTACGGAAACAGTACTACCACTGCCGACATACCCACTAAATCCTCATTTGGTCATTGGTGAAGACGAGCAAGCAGAGGGAAGGATCATATTTCCCTTTTTCCACTCAGAGGCATCAAAGCTCAGTGTCTGAAATTGATGGGTTTTGCTAAAAGCATTGGGAAATACCAACTCAGCAGAACCATCGGAGAGGGCACCTTCGCCAAGGTTAAGCTGGCCTTGAACACCAGCACAGACCAGTATGTTGCAATCAAGATCATTGATAAACAGATGGTGATGGAAAACAAGCTAATGGAGCAGGTGACTTTCATCTCTTCTTCTGTTTTTCTTTGAATTTTCTTTTACAGAAAAAAAAAAAGAAATCTGTTGAGGTGTACCCACCATACAATGGCAGGACACCGATTAAGAGCAATTAGTCAATTGTTTTTGAATTTTGGGCTTCAGGTGAAGAGAGAGATAAGTACAATGAAGCTTCTGAATCACCCCAATATTGTCCGGATACACGAAGTATGTCTATAGAGTCTCAAACTTGGAGATTAATAGGATTCCTTGTTTCTGTATTTTGGGCATCAAGTTCTCATCCCTCTAGTTGGGTTTCTTTGTTGATCTGCAAATACAGGTCATCGCCACCAAGACAAAAATCTACATTGTAATGGAATATGTTTCTGGGGGTCAACTCTCTGACAAGTTGGTGGGTATATTTATCTTTCTCTGAGCTCTAGAAAATTAGCCAGAAATGGTCCCTCTCTTTGCTGGCTTCATTTGAAAATTGTCTGTCTGAAGCTTACTTTTCTGCCAGTCTTACCTTAAGAAATTGAGTGAGCAAGAGGCAAGGCTATACTTTCAGCAATTGATCGATGCTGTTGAGTACTGTCATTGCAGGGGCGTTTATCACAGAGATCTCAAGGTAGAAAATCATCATCCTTTCATCTCCTAATTGATTGCTTACTGCCACAATTAACTTTGCTTCTGTTGGTGTCCCTTGAACAGCCTGAAAACTTGCTGCTAGATACCAAAGGAAATTTGAAAATCTCAGACTTTGGGCTCAGTGCACTGCGTAAGGCATGTACACTTTTGACTTCAATTCTTCAAATTACTTTTTGTTTAGATTTCAATAAACACATGGAAGGTCTGATCAATTTGCTATGGAAACAGCCTGGAGATTTACTATCTACTGCTTGTGGTTCTCCATGCTATGTAGCTCCTGAGGTAAGAAAATTTTTCATATTGTCCAAAATTAGCAGGGTCACTTGAATTGTTTGTGAAAATCAGGCAAAACCCCATTAAAACAGAAATATTTTCCAATCCCTGGCATGGTTCTCCTTTGTTATTTTAACAGGTAATTGCCAATAAAAACTATGATGGAGCAACCTCTGATGTTTGGTCATGTGGAGTAATTCTTTTTGAATTACTTTCTGGCTATCTTCCCTTTGATGATCGAAACCTGATGAGCTTGTATAGGAAGGTATGGTAGTTAAAAAGACTAGATGCTCCAGTTCCACATGAACATTCAGTTTTCTGATACCAGTTTTCTGCAAAGATATCTAAAGCAGAGTACAGGTACCCAGACTGGTTTACAAAAAGGCAAAAGAATCTAATTTCCAGAATTCTTGATCCAAATGCCCAAACGGTAACTCTCTCAAAAAGTTCAGTTGAAGAACTCCAACTAACAATAATCATTGAGATAACTTCCCATTTTTCTCTCTATAGCGAATCACAATAGCAGAGATTATTGAAAATGAGTGGTTCCAAACCAACTACAAGACTTCTTTAGGAATTGTGTGTGATGAAGACATTAGTTTAGAGGATGTCAATGCTGCATTCAGTGATATGGAGGTAAAGGGACTGGGTCTATTTAAACTACTCTTTTCAATTAGCCATAAGATGAATGCTAGTAAACTGTTGTAAGGAATCTGAAATTTGATGCAGGGAAAGGACAATGAAATGGGTATTCCAAAATCACCTAGTTTTATCAATGCATTCCGATTGATAGCAATGTCTAATGACCTTGATCTGTCAGGTCTCTTTGAAGAACAGGTAAATTTGAAATTCTCATGCTGAATTTCCTTCTGTCATATGCTTTTTCCCTTCAATTTCTAAGTATCTTTGCATCTTTTGCCACTTCAAGGATGAAGAGAAACAGAAAATAAGGCTTGGTTCCAGACATCCAATTCATGAGACCATAGAAAAAATCAAGTATGCTGCAAAGGATGCAAGCCTCTCAGTAGAAGGGATTTATAATTCAAAAGTAAGTTTGTACATTCTTCTTTTCTAAAATCCAATTTCCCACATGCTTACTACTTACTGTCCTTCTGAGTTTACCAGGTGAGAATTCACCAGAAACAGAAGATGACCAGATGTAGTAGATCATATTTCAACCTATCAGCAGAGGTAAATGTTTCATACTCTGCAGCATATAAATAGCAGCATTCAATGTTATAGTCTCACGAATTAAATTTGGTAAAACTCAGGTGATTGAGGTAACTCCCACACATTGCGTAGTGGAAATATCAAAATCTGCAGGAGAGCTAAGAGGGTATAAAGAGGTAGGCAACTGATTTCTCAATATGATAGGTGAATCCTTGTAAACTATTATTAACCTGACCATGACCAACAGTTCTGTAAAAGTCTATCAAGTCTGCTCACGGATAAACCCGGTGATTCTGATGAGCCAAAAGTGTCCACAGATACAAGTTTTGCTGAAAAAAATGACCAAGAAAATGGAAGGTAATTCAGAACTTAGTAAACTGCACAGCAAAATGACGGCTGTCAGCTCACCTCATATTTTTAAATCATGCAGCTCTGAAGAGGAAGGCAGCAACAGAGGTACTAAAGAATTGTGTGGCTATTCTTCCTCATGACATTTAGTAGTCTTTACACTGATGGTCCCCAAAGGGAAAGAAAGATGTAGAAGACATGGAAAAATATTATTCTTCCACATTGGCAGAGAGAGAGAGGGGAAAAATAGAGAATGTGTACAGTTTCTTGCATTTAGTGACATGTTTCTTTTTCTTTTTTTCATTTTGCATTTCTCTTTTAGGTTTGTTTCATTTGTCAATTGTTGTCTCTCCGTTTGGAAGTGTGAATAAAGCTACTTTCTTGAACATGCAATTTTGAAATTCTTTAACACTGAAAGATATACAACAGAGTTCTTATTCTTCAGGTTCCTCCTCTATATGTGCCTAAATCTGTTTAATCAAGATTCGAGTGATAAGTTTGTGTTCAAAAGAGGGATGAAAAAAAAAACTTTCTTGAGGATATTTACCCATTTACACATGGAATGCAGTATAGATTTTGCAGCAGAGTTTTTTCATCATAAATTATGGTGATATATCAATAGTTCAATACATCTTTCAGGTTTGTATCCAGGGGTGTCAATGGAGCCCAAAAGTTTGAAACCTGACCCAACATCCAATCCAATTATGTTGGAACCAAATGATTATGATTAATTACATGATCAGATCACATGGAATCCGGAACAAATTTTATGATATCTATATAGATATAATTTAATAAAGGATATAAGACTTAAACCTCTCTTGATGTTTTTGATAAACACTAATATCTTCCATCTCTTTTAAATAAAAGGACTAAAATCTCCTTCTGACAAATACCTTCCCTCTGTTAGCGCAATCCATCAACATATGTTTACATGTGACATTAGATGAGGCTGAAATTTTTTTTTTTAAATCTATTTTTTCCCCTTGAAAGTCCCTTTAGCAAGCAAAAACAGAATATTCAAAAAGAATTTGATATCCTTGCTTTCTATTATTAATTTACAATGCATGTTGAAATCATGCCGGTTGAGGCATGAATAACGTGGGCAGTGATGATTGGGAAACCTAGACATTGTTTTGAAGAGTAAACAAAGTAAATCTAGTGTTTTATCTTTTTATCCAATGTTTTAAAAACCGACCTGGAACTGGAACCGTTCCGGCCATCAGTTTTTGGGTCAACGGTTTGACCATCTAGTTCAAACGGATGTTTCATTCTAACAAAAAAAAAAGTAAAACAGGTCAGATGGATCAAACGGGTCAACGGTTTGACTGTCTAGGTCAATGGGTTGTTTACCAATTCAATAGTTTTTGGCCGGGGACTGGGTTTGGGGTAAAATGGAACTGGTTGCTTGGATGGTTCCTGGTCTGAACGGTCCAACTGTTCGGATCAACGGCAGTTCGAAAACATTGTTTTTATCTCATTAAGTACAGTAGAAGCCTACCAAAAGAGTAACAAAAAAATGATGTGAGAAAAGAGAAAAAGAAACATTTGAAAAATATTTGTGATGGAATTAGAAAGCATATGCATCATTTCTTGTGCCAAGAGAGATTCTACTAATTTGAACATACCAAGTGATGTGGGGTGACCCAACCCAGCCCATTCAAGGTTGGGAGGCCCAACCCATGAGCACCAGATCCGGGAACGAGATCCGCCATAGCAGGGGTTACCCTGCTCCCCTCATACGGAGCCAATTGCGGAGCACTCGCATGACCCTACCAAGCCCATTGTATGCTTTTGTACGGCTCGCTCCCATCCCAGGCGTCCATCTCCACCTACCTCCAAGCAGCCCAAGTATAAATAGGGGTGCCCCCCTCCATGTAAGGGGAGGAATCGGATACAATCCATAGTCTGAATCTGGAACTGGGCTCACAAACTATATTCTGGTTCCCCTCTTCGTACCCCATACTAACTTGACCGTCGGAGACTCTGCCTCAGGTTCTCACCCGGGGCCTCTGACGTATTCTATCTTGCAGTACCTTGGCCACCTACCTTCGGCTTCTATAGTACTCGGAGCCTCCTCCACCTTGGCCTACATACCTTGGCCTCAGCAGCAACCTCTCCGAGCCCTCAGAGCCTTCGGCCCTCCAAAGTCTAGGGGCGAAATTACCTTGTTGACCTTGGCCAATCCGAGCACCAACAATTGGCATCATCTGTGGGAAGGCGTTGCTAAGACATTCCCTAAAAGAACTTTAATGAGCTAACAAGTCCCCAAGCTCCGACCAACCAACATGGTGCGAAAAACAAGAAACGCACAAAATCTTGTCACCAATGAGCACTTCCAGGTCGTGCTCGACCGCCTGGAGTACTTGACACAGCAAGTCGAGCAAAACTACCCCCAGGCAGGAGGTTGCGCCCAGGGTGACCGTCCCGCCGGGGAGTCAACACAGCTGGGCCGGCATGAGTCCACCAGCCAACTGGTCCCCAGCCTCGGCCACGCATAGGGACCGAGCCCTCAGAGTCTGGTAGTAGTCGTCCATCCGACCTACTCTCCAGGACCTCTGGATCCCCTAGCCAAAAGGAGGGAGAACCGGAACNACACAGCTGGGCCGGCATGAGTCCACCAGCCAACTGGTCCCCAGCCTCGGCCACGCATAGGGACCGAGCCCTCAGAGTCTGGTAGTAGTCGTCCAACCGACTCTCTCTCCAGGACCTCTAGACCTCCCATCCGAAAGGAGGGCAACTCCATACCTCTTAGCCAGAGGAGGGAGAACCGGAACGATCGGAGGATAGCCGTCAGCCCTTTGAGCAGCATCACCGACGCCGAAGGGCCAAGTCGAGGAACGAAGGCGGATGCTGCGACCACCCCAGCGCCCACTCCAAGGCCAAGGGCCAACGTCGAGCCTCTTCCCCTCACTTCTCAGACCTCCGGGATGTTCTAAACAATCGCCACGCTAGGCGCGAAGCACACGATCTCGCCTTCGAGCACTCCGGAGTCCGCGCCGATCGCCATCATGCCCATGAAGACCGGGATGACACAGACCATGCCCTACCCCATGTTCCCCAAACTCTGAGTCGAGCTTGGTGGTATCAAAGTCAAACCGACACCTCGGCCGAACAGAGTAATTCCCTAGGGAGAATGGATGCCTTCTCCCCTGATATCGTCGTTGAGCCTCTACCCCCAAACTTCAAGGCTCCCACCTTGGAGATGTATGACGGGAACAACCCAGACGACCAGCTAGAGAACTTCAGGGCGCTCATGATCCTATACGGGTACTTCGACGCCTTGACGTGCTAGACTTTCCAAGCAACCTTCAAGGGAGCCGCTCGGCAGTGGTTCTCTAGCCTTCCACCTCAATCCATCACCTCATGGGAACAGTTTTTTAGCATGTTCCTCGCCTGCTTCTTCAGCAGCCGACGCCCCCAAAAAAGTGTTGTCTTGCTGATGATTGTCAAGCAGAAACGAGGAGAGAGTTTTCGGTCATACATCAACCGCTTCAAAAAAGAAGAACTCGAGGTCTGTGACTTCGACCCCTTGGTCTCCATGCATGCCGCTATCAGTGGGCTCCTCCCTAGCTCGGCTCTCATTGCCAAAAGCCAGTCGAAGATGAAGCTTGAGTTCCTAGAAAGGGCCCAGAAATACATTGCCGTCGAAGAGGCTTACAATCAGTACACGCCACTCAACTCCACCCACGTACAGATTTTGTTGCAGGGCAAGAGAAATTTATGAAGTGGCCTAAAAACTTGAAGAAGAACCCCCACTGGGGGAACCCCAAAAAATACTACAAGTTCCACCGAGGCACCGACCACGACACCAAGGACTATTATTATCTCAAAAATGAGATAGAGTCCCTCATTCGTCGAGGCCACCTCAAGAAATACGTCGGAGGCGAGGCTGGCTTCTTGTCCTCCTAGCAACAGCACCACCACCACCAACAAGCAACAGACATCATTGACATCATACTGGGAGGCACAACCTCGGGTGGAGCCTCAGCCTCGGCTCACAAAGCCTACGCCAGACAACTAAACATCTAGTAGTTGGCCCCCAAGAAGCAGAAGCGAGAGTCCCTCTCCTTTACGGACGAGGACCTAATGGGGGTAGCAGTCCCCCATGATGACACATTGGTGGTTTCGGCCATCATTGCAAACTTCGTAGTCAAGAGGATCCTTGTTTATAGTGGCTCCTCAGCTGACATCCTTTTCTACGAAGCTTTTTAAAAGATGAAGATAGTTCCAAAGCGCCTCCAACCAGTTGATGCCCCACTAGTCGGCTTCTCTGGAAGCATCGTCAAACCAAAGGGAAAGATCTCCCTACCAGTCATAGTAGGGACGAAGCCCTAGCAGGTGACAAGGATGACAGAGTTCCTGGTCGTGAAGAGTTGGTTTCCCTCAGTCCCCCATGACGACACATTGGTGGTTTCGATCGTCATTGCAAATTTCGTAGTCAAGAGGATCCTTGTTAACAGTGGCTCCTTAGTCGATATCCTTTTATACGAAGCTTTTGAAAAGATGAAGATAGCTCTGGAGCGCCTCCAACCAGTAGATGTCCCACTAGTTGGCTTCTCTGGCAGCATCATCAAATCAGAGGACAAGATCTCCCTACCAATCACAGTAGGGATAGAGCCCCAGTAAGTGACAAGGATGACAGAGTTCCTGGTCATGAAGATCGGCTCGCCCTACAATGCCATCATGGGGTGACCAACTCTTCACACACTCTTGGCAGCCATCTCCTCCTACCACCTCGCCTTAGTTCCCCACCGAACATGGCATCGGAGTTGTTCGTGGGGACTAGCATGCCGCCCGTCAGTGCTGTGGTAGCGCTGAAGGGCAAGAACATAGAAACTCTACCACTAGAGGGCCTCGACCCCAGGGAGGAGACAACGAGCCGAGGCCAGCCGACCGAGGACCTCGTCTCGGTCCCCCTAGACGACGACAAGCCCGACAAGACAGTCCATGTCGGGTCCAACCTTCCCCCCGAGAGCCTATCCAAACTGGTAAGTTTCTTCAGACTCAATGATATGCTCGAAATTGACCCCTCGGTCATTACACATAGGCTGAGCGTGGATCCGAGCTCTAGGCCAGTTCGGAAAAAGAAGAGGAACTTTGCACYGAAGCATTGGAAGGCCATAGAGGAGGAAGTTGAAATGTTACTCGACGCCAGCATTATCCGAGAGGTACACTACCCTAACTGGTTATCAAATGTAGTTATAGTGAAGAAAGCTAACGGGAAATGGAGGATCTATATTGATTTCACAGACCTTAACCGAGCTTGCCCCAAGGACAATTTTCCTTTGCCAAGGATAGAGCATCTCATTGACGCCATTGCAGGGTACAAGCAATTTAGCTTCATGGATTCCTTCTCCAGATACAATCAGATAAAAATGCACCCAGACGAT